ATCACACTTTGAACATGGTAACTTCTTTTCTTGATGAACTTTCTCATAATGCTAGAACACAGTATATAAACACAGATGTTTAGATACTGTTATACAGATATGTAATATTAACTAAAAATATGCTACTCATAACTGTAGTGTATTTGTTGCTATGTACTGTTATTATTTTGAAATGTTTGTGCCATAACAAATAAAACAATGATATGGCAGTAGAAAAATGCTAACAAATCAGTGAAATAACTGACAAATTTTTGCCACAAATTGTATAACTGCAACCACATACTTAACAATATTAGTGTTGTCATTTGATGGAGGAAGGACAAATGAAAGGTCTACGAGCAATAAAGACCTAAGAATGGTGCTGTATATGACCTGAACACACTACAGGTTCCTGACAGAAGGTTTAAGTTTGTGTAAGATTAATTGTAAAACCTCTACACATGCAAGATTGCTTAACTTTCAAAGAAAAATCTTGTCTTACTCATCTGTTATCTTTTTTTTTCAATGAAGTAGTCTGTTATTTGGATGAAGGTAAAGGTGTGGCATACTTAGATTTTTAAACAGCTTTTGATAAAGTGCCACACAAAAGATTAGCTAAAAAGATCACATTGGTTGGGGTTGGGGAAAGACTAGTTAACTGGACTGTGGGGTGGTTGGGTGAGAGAAAGCACTTCAGAGGCTAGTGGTTATATATCTTAACAATATTGATAGGGGAGTAATTTATGAATTAGTAAAGTTTGCTGATAGCATTAAACTCTTGTGTATTTCTAACTGTATTCAGGATGTTAAGGTATCACAGAAAGAATTGGATCAACCAGTAAATTGGAAAAATATTTGACAAATGGCCATTAATTACAGTAGATGCAAGATAATGTACTTGGTTTATTGGGATTTGGATCCCTCAATCAACCCACTTAATAGTAACTGAAGTAACAAATCTTGACATACTGGTGGATAAGTCACTCAAGCAAATGAAGCAGAGTATTTAAAGACATACTGATTATATGTCAAATGACGTAGTGATCAATATATAAATATCACTAATTATGCCCCCCTTGAAATGCTGTGTAAGGTTTTGACTTTATCTTAGAAAGGGTTCAGAGGAAAGCTACTAGGATCATTCCAGGGATGAAAAGATTATCTTAAAGAGACAGACTACAATCTTTTAACTTGTTTTTCTTGAAAGAAAAGGGTAAGAGGTAATCTTACCGAAGTTTAAAAATTAACCAGAAGATTGATATGATAAAGGTCTTTGACTTTATTGGCTACATTCTGAAGACAATAGGAAAAGAGGACAAAGTCCGAGATTTGGAAAAAAAACAGGCTAGGCTCCAGTTAAAACAGTTTTATTTCCATAACAGTGTGATTGAATTATGGAATTAGTTGCTGTTAGAAGCACTAGGTGTCACCACTTTACTGAGTTTCAGATGGGAATCAGTGATTTCCTCAAACAAAAACAGCAAGTCTAAATTTTTTACTTTTATCAAGAGTAGGTGAGCAAGAACAGCCTTGAAGGATAAATGGTTTTTGTTATCCATAGGTGATGTTAACTTTTTTTTGTGTTTGAAATGAGACTGTATATAAATGTGTTGTTGTTTTATTTAATCTGCAGAAAGATTTCTTATCAATTCACAAAAATCTCCATTGTTTGATTTTTTTTTTATATTTATGTTCAATATCATGGGAATCTGACAATAAAATAATTCACCAATCAATATGCACTGCTAGTAGACTCTTTGCCACGACAAAAGAGAATGTCTTAATTAATGAATTTCTAGACATTATTTGACACTGAAGTTAGGCTTTAATATTGAATTTTATTGAAAGTTCTTATTACGGCTCGCAACTTTGACTTCATATATTTCGTAATGTCCTTATTTAGCTACAATAGCAACAAGAGCAAACTTACAGAAGCCAAAGTTATGGAACACATTAGAAAAGTTACCAAAATGAATTAAGCTTAATACTAATATTGTGTAACCTTAAAAATGTTGTTGTTTGGTGTTTTATGGCGCAAAGCAACGAGGCTATCTGCGCCAAACAACCAGTAAAAACTGTGAAAGTAAATTAAAGTATAAAAAATACAGTGAGTTAAAACCAATATATGTCGATAAAAGATTTATATACAATTAAAGACCCATAGTGCGTAAAAAATTACAAATACTATCTAATCGGACATTGTCACCATTACCAATGACACTGTCCAACGTCAAAGGTAAACTCTTAGAGAATGTGTGTTTAAAATAATGCTGCCCCTCACAATCGTAATGACGGCACGACAGTAAAATGTGGGCTATTGTGACTTGAGTGTCACAATGGCTACACATCGGTGGTTCAACACCTGATAAAAGAAAACGATGGGTTAAAAAACTGTGACCAATGCGTAGCCTTGCCAGGACTATATCCTCTTTCCAATCCTTACGTTAGCAAGACGACCAATGACCAACAGTAAGCTTGATCTGAAAAGGCTTGTTATGACATTGCTCACCCAAGTCGACTGCCAACTGGCTCGAGGCCATGCCTTAAAGACAGAACTGCAGTCCATGTATGGGACAGGCATGGCCGTGATGGCACCAGAGCAGACGGACTTAGCTGCAGTGTCAGCATGCTCATTCCCATGAATACCGACGTGGCCAGGGATCCAGAAAAAACTAGATGGAAACAGAAGATAGAGAAAAATGGCCCAATCAGTGTTGAATATCGACGAGAACAGGGTGAGAACTAACGTTAAGCGATTCCAGGGCCAGTAGAGAGCTGTAAATTGTACAATTACTGTATTGCATAGCTTCTACATGATCCAGGGCAAGAGAAATAGCATACAACTCGGCAGTGAACACAGAAACTGAAGAGGGGATCCTGCGAGCAACTACCGAGCCACAGCACACCATGGCAGAACCTACCAAGTCACCTGATTTTGAATCATCCGTGTAAATAGGAAGAGAAGAATGGCTTGAAAGATGCTCAGCAAAAAGAAGATGGTACTTCCAATCGGGAGTATCTGCCTTCCTCAGATGACTCAGAGAAAGGTCACAGGAAAGGATGGTAATAAGCCAAGGTGGAATGGGCTGATCATTGGGGACAGCAATGTCATCCAATGCCAGATCCAATTCAGCCAGTTGCACCTGGATACGAAGGCCAAAGGAAGGAATAGCAGACCTTCTGTTCCGAAAGAGCATGGCACATTGTGGAAGAAAGACACAATCCCAGGTAGGATGCCGTGGTAAGGATCGAAGCTTGGCAGCATATTGTAAAGAAAGTTACAAACGACGGAGGTGAAGAGGAGGTTCGTGGGACTCGATGTACAAACTCTGGTCTGGAGAAGTGCGAAAAGCCCCAGTACAGAGCCAAAGCTCCAGATGGTGAATGGGGTCCAGCATCTTCAAGGCTGAGGTCCTGGCAGAACCATATACCAAAGACCCATAGTCCAGTTTGGATCGAATCAGTGCACGATTGATCCTGAGCATAGAACATCGATCCGCACCCCAAAAGGTGGAAGAGAGGACATGGAGGATGTTCAAAGCCCTTGCACACTTGACATATAGCTGTTTGATGTGCGGAATGAAGCTAAGCTTACGGTCAAAGATAAGCCCCAAGAATTTTGCCTCAGGGACCACACGAATAACTACATTGCAAAGACGGAGCTCAGGATCAGGTGGAGACTTTGCCGGTGGCAAAAATGCATGCAAACAGTTTTGGAAAAAGAAAATTTAAAACTGTTTGCAACAACCTCATGTTCGATGACTGACATGAGATTTGGAAGTCATCAGCATAAAGCCCATTTGCAACAGACGGAGGAAGACACAGACCTGAGGGACTCCAAGTTCCTGTGGAAAGGAACGGGAAAGAGTTGAACCCACACGAACTTGGAATCGCCTGTTCAGTAAAAAGTTTTTAATAAAAACGGGTAGATGGCCATGTAACCCATAGGAGTGGAGGTCCTGCAAAATTTCATACCTCCACGTGGTGTCATAAGCCTTCTTGAAATTGAAGAACACAGAAACAAGGTGTTCTCTCTTGAGAAAGGCTTCCAGAATCGATGTTTCAAGTCGAATCAGATGGTCCATGGTGGAGCACTGTAGACAGAACCCACACTGGGTGGGTGAGAAGAGTGTGTTCGATTCGATGAACCAAACAAGACGAGCATTAACCATCCTCTCTCTAGGACCTTACAAAGACAACTAGTCAAAGCAATGGGACGATAATTTGAAGGAATCTTGGGATCCTTCCCAGGTTTAGAGAAAGGAAGGACAATAGCCTGGTGCCAAGAATCAGGAAAAATGTGCTTCTGCCAGATCTGGTTAAAAAGAACCAGGAGAATAGCAAGAGAGGCAGGTGAGAGATGGTGCAACATCTCATAATGAACATCATCAGGTCCGACCAATGAACAGCAAGTTTGAGTTCCACCAGTGTAAACGGGCGATTATAATCATAGAGCCCAAAAAGAAAAAAGGACGATCGCTCTGCCCGAGACTTGATGGCCAAGAAGGCAGGGGAAGAAACAGAAGTGCTAGAAGCACGAGAAAAGCCATGG